CCTCCCCAGTTGTAGAGTGTGTAGAAAGCAAAAGGCTGGGGGCTGGCCGCGCTCACAAGCCCAGGGCATGCGCGCTGGGGCGGCCGGGCCTGCGCACTGGGGGCGGAGGGGAGCCGGGAGTGGGCCGTGAGGGTGCGGTAGGGGTGTGGAGTGGGTCGTCCGCGTGGGGTCGGGTGTGGCCCGGCAGAGTTGGCGCGCGAGGGTGTGGAAGCCGCGAAATGCCCGGCCAGTCACACTGGGGATGCGTGCGTGCCACTGTCCCCTGTCAACTCTGTGCTCCCAGCTCCGCACCCCACCCCCGCACCCTCCTCGGGACACTTGTCCTTCGACCCCCTACCCCAGGCCCGGGCCTCCTCGCAAGGTCCCCAGGGTGTTCTCGCCGAGCGACCTGCGCTGCGAAGGAAGGAGGGATTTCAAAAAAAGGGACAAGGGGGCTTCCCTGAGAGAGGGGCGCGACTGGAGGCGACAGGAAAGGGAGCGCGTGCCAAAGCGCGAGCCTCTACTCCATTGGGGGACACTGGGAAGCCCCACAGGCAGAGTTGCAAACTTCTCTCTCACGTGATAGCACAATGTGTGGCCGAGTGACCCCACACCCTGATGACCTCTGGGCCCTCCTCGCCTTCAAATGGGAGCCTTTGGGACGCGCAGGCAGCTTCGGAGGCGGCAGCGCGGGGCCCGGGGCCGAACTTGAACCTCAGCTGCAGCTGCTGGCGAAGGGGCGGGGCTGAAGGGGCCTGGACCGCCCCACCCGGAGGACCAGTTAGTCCCGCAAAACTCTGTCCCTACCTCAGCAGGCTTCCTTTATTTGGGGAGAAGAGGGGTCTTTGGGGCTTTCCTTATCATTGCCCCTCCTCTCGCCGCAATGTATTCGGTGCTAATAAAAAGTTGTACTAAAAAGCTGACTGCAGCCCAGAATCGATCAACAAAAGCGACCAGCCTTTCTGGGTCAAATAGCCATGCGTTTTTCGGGGCACTGGAATTGATCTACTGGGATCAGAAAGACACTGACAGTTCTTTCTTACCAGCCTCTTAGATACCTGCTTCACTTTCTGTCCAGGCACATAAACATCATGGCACATAACCCCTTACCCCGAGTAACCTACACTTGGGGAAGAAGAAAAGGAAAATGAACTGACATTTATTAATTGCGCACAATGGGTCAGGCACCGTACCAGACGCTTGTACAGGACTCATCTTTTGAATCTAAATGTGCACTTTTATGTTTTTGTATTACTGGAAGGAGATGGTAAAGAAACAATAAGAGCATGACAATCTGACACACCTAAGATTTATTGATTTATTCATTTCTTTGTTTAACAACTAATTAGGGTCTACAATAAACCAAGCACAGTTCTATGTGCTGGGAATACAATGGTACACAAAACGGAGAAGGTCCTCCCTCTTAGATCTTATGTTCTAGCATGCAAGCTTCGCTCATCTTGCACTTCCTGACGCCAATTTGATGGTTGTTTATTCCCTTAGGTCACACTCCTTCATCCCCTCTTCTGGATCCCAGGTCTAGATCTATATGAACTCGAGATCAGGGATGGGAAGGGACAATGGTGGGAGCAAAGGCGCAAGTGCAAAGAGGAGCAACCACTGAACTGCGGATAGAATTTGAGTGTTATGTCTGTCCAGGGAACATACCATTTGACCTTAGGCAAAACTCTTAAGTGACTAGTTTTCTCATCCGAATAAATTCAATTAAACGTTCAAAAAGTTCTCTCTCAGCTCTACTGCTGGCCTTAAAAGATGACGTCTTTTCCAGTAGATTGTGTGCTTTATTTCTTGAGAATAGTGACTGATATATGGAATCTAATTCAACTTATTTAGAACACGGAGCCACCTTCCAAAATTACCAACCTAAGATAACTGAGTCTGCTGCCCCCAGAGCAATTAGCTAAAATGGTACCTCTGTACTGAGTGTAACTTCTGTGTTAACTTCTAGGCTACTATTCCAGCAGCTGCTGAAATTCAGGCTGAAGTTATCAAGCTCACACCTACCAAAAAAGGCAAGTTCTTTGAAATTTGAAGCAAGGATTTGGGCTCATTTTTAGGGTTTTTGGGAATGTGGAAGATGTCGTAAATACTGGTAAGTTTCAAGGAAAACTAGGGACTAACATTGTAATTATAGTAACTTCTCAACAACTTTGAGGGTTGGGTAGAGAAAGGTGTGAAATTGGCAAATATAATAAAAAGTATATTATTAGTGACTTTCCAGAGTAGCCCTTGGCAGTCTTGTCTTTAAAGAGTAATGTCTGGTAGGGGGAAAAAATGGACAGTAATGCACTGCATCCAAGAACCTTGCCTCTGGCAAGAGTAATTTGCAAATGCATTTTGGGATAATGTTTAATTGTATTTTTTCAGGGTTCAAGTGCAATGCTCACTAGAATTGGTAATGCCTTTTGGGTCAGAGTTTCAATTTCCTTCTATCAGAGAATGAAACTTGTTTGTAGATTATATTGCCCATATTTGTTTCTAATTCTCCATATTGTCTATGTTGTAAGACCAAATGATTAATAATCACCATAAGCTAAACGCTGACTATGTGCCAAGCACTGTTCTATGTTGTATTGAAATAATATCTCATTTTATTATACCTATTTCACAGTTGAGTAAACTGAGGCTTGAGAAGGGTATACATAGATGGCATAGCTTTTTAGTGGTAAGCTGAATTTGGCCTGAGTGATTCCAAAACTTGTTCTCTTACTGGTTATGCTGAAATTCTTTACTCAGAATGATCCCTCAAGAAATCAAATGCTATGTATGTAGTACAACTAACTACTTTGGAAAGCTGGCAATATCTACTAAATTTAAGCATATAAAAAAAAAAACAAACTATGACCTAGCAATTCATTTCCTAGGAATATACCAATGTCAAATGTATACCAAAAGATATCAAACAGTTCAAAGCAACTCTGTTTGTAATAACCGCCAAACTGGAAACAACTTGAATATTCATTAACAGTAACAAGGATAAATAATTGCTGATATATTTATATAACGAAGACTATACAACACTTAGAATGAACAAGCTGCTTCCAAATGCATTAACATATACAAATCTCATAAATATAACACTAAATGAAAGAAACCAAACACAAACAGGCATAGCTCGTTTATGCTATCAGAAGACAGGATAATGGTTACCCATGATGGGAGCTAATGTCAGGAGGGGACATAAATAGGACTTCTGGGGAGTTGGTCATGTTCTTTTTCTTGGGATTTGGTGCTTGTTGCTCATGTGTGGTCAGTTTGTGAAAATTCATCAAGCTATTCTATTGTAATACACGTACTTGTCTATATGTATATCATACTTCAACAAAAAATATTAAATGCTGTATATAAGTATACAGAAGTATTATTTGTGAACATATGAGTATCTACATAATTATTTTTTATGTATTAATTATACTACCCAAATGGTCACCAACAGTAAAGTGGATAAATAAG